ACTCGAAGATGATTCTGTCGAACCCATCATCAAGATCCAGCAGATCGCCACCTCTCTCTCGGCTGACCCGGGCTAGTGACTTCGGTATGGGCTGAAAAGCCATCGAGGCAATGATCCCAGCTACTCCTGACTTTACAGCTGACGTGTTGTACCAATGGTCATAGTAAGATCGCATCACCTTTGCGCCTGCTGCAGCTGGCGGAAGAGGTGTCGTCTCCGTAGCGATAGTGTAAACACTACCTTTCAAGACGAAGACGTTGTTCGCTTTGAGCAAGTCGGTGTAGGACCTCGTCTTACAAGTGTTGAGCGACGATTGGATATCCAAGAATTCGTCAAATACTCCAGATGGAGGCTGTGGTCCGTCGTAGAACAGAAAGAAGATCCAGATGTTGACGCTGTTCAATACAGTCAACTCTGAAGTTGCGATGATGGCTGCCTTTGGATCATGATAATTCTCAGTAAAGTTTCGAATCGCCGCGAGTATCTCATCTGTTTTGTCGCCGCCAAATACCAAGTTTCCGCCCCATATCTGCCCCTTGTATTAGCAGATTCTGTCGCCAATGGGAAGTCGCTGGTTGAGGGACCACAGCACTTACCTGTCCTATTGCATGCGCTTGCAAGTTATACCTTGTTACGATTCCGTACGCATTGCCACCTCCTTTTATGGTAGCAAGAAGGTCCGGATTGGAAGTATTGGAAGCGGTCACTACCGATCCATTTGCAAGTACCATCTCCGCTGACACTATGTTGTTCGATGCCCAGCCGTATTGGGTGCTGAGAAAACTGAGCCCCCCTTTGAAGAACGTTAGATACCTCATTCCATGCAGGCGCCGAAGTTGAACATCAAGATACCTCCTAGAAGATAGCCACCCACGCCGACATTCCCGATGCGGCCCCCAACGACAGTCACTCCAGTTCCCTCGAGAGCTTCGTGAACCTCTTCCCATTTGTTTCCGGGACCGACGCTGACCGTATTATTCTCCTTGTAGTACACGACTTCCTTTAGCCCTTTTGTAGAGATCAAAGGGCCACCTTGCACGCTTGCAAAGTAATTGTTCGGGTTGTGTCCTCCCGACTTAACAGCAAACTGCTCTTTGTTATTAAGCAGGGCAGTGACAATAGCTGAAACTTCTGTAGCACTCGTTGGAACCAGGATACAGTCTGGCTTCAGGTTGCTGCAAGCAGTCGACCTACTGGCGGTTAAAATAATTCAGCGCTGGATTAATGAGCCTACCAATAGTTTTGTTGTTCCTGGGTGTACTCTATCTCAATCCCCTGGTATTGTTGGATCTTCGTCGATGCGGAAAGCTGTTGACACGTCGCAGATAGAGACTCAACGCATATTGCCAACCCTAAACACACGAAGAGCGTCAATAGCCTTGATGAATCAATGTTCATGACGGGCAGGATGACAAGAGTTCAAAGTCAGTGATGCAAAAGTCTTGCGAGCGTAGTCTGGAGGAGGGGCACGAGAGGCCTATTTAATGTAAATACTCTAGACACATCATGTAACAAGCACAGCTGAGGTCAGATGGGTCTTCCCTCTGCATGTACCAATCAAAATTTCTGAGATGCGATTGCTGTCAAGTTGGACACCTTCCGTAAATGTAGAAATTGGGGCGCCACGATGCTGCTTTAGATGGCATCGCTTGTCAAGTGGATCAGACGATACGGTCGCATAAGTGCTGACAATCACACACCTTCTTATCCAGCCACATCGACTACAATAGGAAATCACATCGGCAGGCTGCTAGGTACAACGATGCTGGTGATTGTTCAAAGGCTCAGAGTTTCGTATTTTCGGCTGTGACTTTTCGCGTACTCGTGCTTTTCGGAAGTCCACACAACCTCGCGATGAAAAGCCAAATGTTGAGGGAACATCGCTGTACTCAAGTTTCAGCTCCACATGAAAGCTGACCCTAAGCGAGTGGCATTCTACTCAGACTATTGAAAGGTGTGGGTAGCTGATAGGAGCAGTCGTTATTTATTTCTTCGCTGGCAACATCGATCATTCGTCAATGCCTGGTGTAATGGATTTTGTCTCCATCCACTGCAAAGTACAAAACCTTCCTCTGCCCTCCTGCAGGTGAACCTGTGATCTTCTAGAAGGTGATAGGACGCTGATACATTGGTGGCCACCTTGGGCATCAAGAATCAATAGACATCAATAGGCGTGGGGGAGTGTTACAACGCAGGTGGTCTGAAGCCACCTACCTACCCTGTGTGTGGATCCGCTGGTGGTGTGCTGCGTGACTGTGTGACATGGCCCAATGAATGTTTCGATTGTTGAGCTATTCACCGCAGTGCATGCGGAAGTCGGAGTCGCGGCCTAGCGAAAATCACAAAGGATGCTGCAGGCTTATTCATGTAGGATACCTAGATGAGAGGCCATGTTTCTTGAGAACATGGAGTTACATCTACCTCCCCATTTAGCGAGCTGACCATACGTAATGATAGCGATGGCCCCTCGGTGTAGTCGCCTGGGGGAATCCTTGGCTATATTGATTCAATAACGTGCTTCTCCGCTTACTGCTGCAGGTGTACCAGACAAAGATATGTCCATTATTGGCGTCCACTCACGATAACCAATTCGAAGGTAGCAGCACTAATAAACAGTGACCTCGCCTCTAATTTACGTCCAATTACCTTTAGTCCAATACAGAAGTGGTGTCCAAATTCCGGATCCGCCAAAATACCACGAATATTTTCGGACTGTACATGATTAGGTCCCATGCGATACCATCCAAAAAAAAAAGAGAAAGAAAACGCATCTCCGTGTTGTTGATATCGCCGTCTGTGAAATCCAACGATCCTTTCTAGGCGCACTCCCAGCTGTCTGCCAAATCAATTTCGCCGGTAACGTAACGAGCCTTGAGAGGGTAAGGACAAATAGGTCTCTGTCTGGCTATTCCTCGAAGGACATTGTCTTCATGGTATTTTGTAGCCACCAACTTCTGAGGTGCAATACCCTCTTCAACCCATCGCATGATGGCATAAATTCCGTTATGGTCGGCATCGTCGCTGCCCGGCACGCCATGGGTAGCTCCGCCAATCGTCGAAATACCGGTGTACCAGGGCGCGGCGGTGCTACCAGTACAATGAAAAAGACCCGGAACCAGAAACATACGGTAAAAGTCGTCAAGATTGATCTGCATAGCTTTGTAAACTTCCTCGTAAAAGTATATGCTTGCCCCGCTGCTGATTGTGTCATCTGCAAGGCCATGAAGATGGATCAGCTTGCCACCACGATTCTTGAAAGCAGATAGATCGTATTTATCGGCAGTCGAGTTGCCGGGGTCAATGGTATCAATCAGCTTCACGGTGTTGAAGTCGAAACTTCGCCAGTCCCAGTCTGTGTCGTTCACCACCATGTTGATGACGTATTGTAAGCCGATCGCAGATGGCTCCTCCGTGCCGCTCGCTACAAACGCAAGACTTGACCCCAGTGATGGCTTGGGAAATACAAAAGTTTGATCAACGTCGACATAATCGCTTGTCAACTGGCGGAGAGTATTGATCTGCTGCGGCGTCAAGCAGCTTGAGGCGTTGTTGTTTGTTGAGGTGCAGAGCATGGCTTCAGGGCGGAAGTCGCAGGCGTAAGGATCCATAACGATGGAGTCCGTGATCCCGTCCTGTGGATCACATTGCTTGATCATCTCAGTCAAGATGAGCTGCAGCAGAGAGACTGGAATGTGCTTCGGATCATCAGATGGCAAGTTGAGAATGCCTCTCTGCACGCCTGCTGCACCAAGGCGGGTTGTCCACCAAGCTGGCGCGTTCACAAGAACGCCGTCAAAGTCCTCGGGAAATTCCTGCACCTCCTTAAGACCTTGGCGGCCTCCAGTTGAGCAGGCAACGTAATAGGAATAATCCGGTACAGATCCATAGTACGCAGTTAGGACCGCCTTGGCCACAACAACTGAGCCGTGCATTGCACGATATCCCCAGTCCATCATGGCCTCTGGATTGTTCAGGGCCCAAGAGGTGTCACCGAACCCAGAGATGTGTCCTGTATCGGTTGACATGGATGCAAACCCGTACTGAGAGAACATTCCCATGTATGCCCAGTTGGTAAACCCGCCAAAGCCGCCGTTACCAGTGGCCATGAATCGTGAGTTCCAATTGGTGGGCATGTAAAGGGCGAAGTTGTAGGAGGAAGTAGCAGATGAGATGAGATTGACACCGACTGCGCATCCTTGTGGCAACGCAGTAGCATTTCCAACGGCTGCTTTGTCGCCAAAAGTACCATTCTCGGCGACAAAGTTGACATAGTTGATGGATACACCAGGAGGTAAAACCTCTGTGATCGATTCGAGGGAGCAACGGGAAATGTCAAGATTTCGAGCCTGATAATGGGCAAATGAGAATCCAGTAAGGAGTAGAAAATAGAGGTTGATCATGTTGTAACCGGAGAAGAAGAAGAGGTTTGCTGTGAAGGAGTGATATGTCTTCATTACAAACCTTTGATTAGAGTCGTATATATATACTTATGCTCCCAGAGCCAAGTTACTTGACTTGATGCCCGTGAGGCTGTGTTTTGCAAATCGGAGCTCGCCGTTGCGGTGGTCAAAACACCCGATCGGTACCATCCTGGCACCGATGCCGACTTTAAGGAGTCTGGTTAATTTGACGTCGTTCTTGGCAGCTGCGTGGCTTCCCTCATTTCTCCCCTCTTCCTTGAGCACCTCAGAACTCATTCTCTCACGTGGTCCCTGTCTTGAGCCCTGGCTTTAGTCTCTACTTTTCCCCTCATTCTTATTATTCTTCATTGGCTCATTACTGATCCACTGTAAGTACTGAATTTGATCTTGCTTTACCTCAAGGTATATATAGTTACGTTGCAGTATCAAGTTTTTTTTGAGTTTTTTTTAAAAAAGATAGAAGGAAGGAAGAAAGAAAGGATAGAAAGCCTTAGATTGAGTTTCAGCTCAGAATTATGTGCAGTCAACGCACACGCCGATGTGCTTTTCCAGCAAAGCTACAACGCTGCAATCTTAAGCATGGTTATAAGCCTTGGTGGCCTCAGAAAGGCGCCAGGTATCCGCAACGCTGCGGTTCGTCCTAGAGCAGTCTATGTGAGTAAAACAGAGCCTACATCACACCACGTCAATTTCCTCTCGTTTCTCCTCACTCATACCGATAACGAACTGGCTGTCCGCAGAGTCTCATCTTTCATCCCGAGTATTGCCGTGACGGAGTGCGTCCGGATGATCTGACTCCCACTCCACAGCAATGCGCTGCTGTCCTGATGCATGTACTTTGCGAGCCTGAATTCGGGGACGGAAGTATGGTGGAGAGGAAGTTGGTTGGAAGCAAGGATGATAACTCCGATAGCGTCAGGGAGGTAATTACCACTGCATCTGAGCTATTCCACAGCCGGACCGGTGGGACAGAACAACCACCTGGTTGGAGAGGAGGTTAAGATAGCCAAGAAACCCAAAGAGATTGGCATGAGGGCCTGATATATCTGTGGTATGGGTAGAGAATGATCCTGACTGTACCGAGTGCAACCAGTGCACGGTTTCCCAGGTTTTACAACCGATTGCGCTGCGAGGTGATCTATTCGGAAAACACATACTAGAGTGCCTTGGACGTCAACATTTACATCGAGGATATGGGTTCAAGAGGACTAGGCGGCGTGCATGATATGGACCCAACCTAGAGCGATAAAGTTGCCGTCACGGGCTGTAACTTCTCTGCTGCTGTCAGACCAGAGCCAGAATTAGATCTTCGCATTTCAAGACTCCCGTTCGTGAGCACCATTCATGATGAATCCCTAATCATGATCTATAGTACTCCACGGGAACCTCTTGCCCAGTCCCGGTTTTTACTTGTGGGTCGTGATAGGCTTAGATCACTCGAAAGACCACACTCAACCCCAACTCCACCGCACTAAGTCGTATTGAAGCTCATTCGATTGCCGCACTCCTCAACGCTCCACAACAAGCAGAAATATCCCATGCCTCGAGATTATAGATGCTTTCCCTGCCACTTATCCGCATCCACAACAGCTCCAGTGGAATCTGGGCTCCTGGAAGGGTGGCCGAGTTGGTTATGGCGCCAGGTTAAGGTCAGCTTAACATCTGTTTCCTGGTGGGGCAACCCGCGCGAGTTCGAGTCTCGTCCCTTTCAACATTGTCTTTTGCTTCGCCTATTGATTGTGCATTATCTTACGTTGGATAATTATCCTCCTTTTTGTCTGCAGGCTGCTGGCTGATGAGGATAGTACTTGCTACAATCTCTGTTAGTAGTTGGCTTTCAGTGTGTAGGGTAGCTCATACAAGTGTTTGATACATCATGTTGGTGTTTTTGGTAAAGCACGCGCGAGATGTATCTAATGAGTACCATGTAGCCGGAATCGCAATATTGCTTTAATATCTAGCATCAACTACTCAGAGACTCGGACTACGTAGCATGTTACTGGTAATCAGACATCTCTTTCGAGGCACACTTTCTAGCCTAGTCAGTACTCATTGTGAATCAGGAGTCCTTGTTCACTTCTCGGTATATCTCACCGTGAAGAGCTTCAGTCTCCAACGAACCCCTGGGTCTGTGGGTTCGTGCAGCTGATCCGATTTCATCCCCCGCTGCAGCTTAAAATAGAGTTCACAGCGTGTATCAGCACGGCCTCGCTGGATTCGAAAGGCCGAACCATGGCAAAGTCAAAATACTGTTACACCGAGTAATGTAGCATGCAATTCAGGATAAAGGACAGAAATCCCACTTCATCCCAAGGTCTGATATCTCCCCATCGTGTTCTTCATCCAGCGGCACGCAGGAAAAAAAAACGCTGCACACCCATCCATTTCTGACTTCAGACAACCAGTTACTTTGGGCAGAGAACTAAGAGCAACCTGAAGCCACAAGATCCTCATTGACATCGAGTCACAACTGCCGAGCTTCCCCGCGTTACCAGGCTACGCTAAGACGGTCAAGACTAGGATCACCATCGCAGGGCTTCCAAATCTCCGGAACAACATGGGCATCCTCCTACAACCTCTCGTTGACTACCATCCATGGAACCAGCTTGGAACCTTGACGACACTGTTACTCGCTTCTCTCGGTGCTGTAGGACTTTTGGCTTGGCATTTCCGCGAAGATAAGCCGTACGTGGGCTTCAAATTGATCGGCAAAGAACGAGGAGAATGGTCATATGAGAAGGCGAGAGAAAGATGGAACAACAACGCCTTCGAGCTCTTGCGGGCAGGATTCAAAGAAGTATACTGAAATTGACTTCAATCTTTGAGAATTCACGATATTGACCTGAATTCGTAGACACATGGCCGGCCATTTCAAGTGATATCCCCGTTTGGTCCCTTGGTGATGCTGCCTCCGAGTCTATGCGACGAAGTTCGGAATGACAAACGCTTAACATTCACCGGATTCATCGACCGAGTAAGTCTGTAGAATAGGGAACTTTGAAATGACCAAAGGTCAGGGCCTATGAGCAAGATTCTTCTAACCTCGGCGGTCATAGCAATGGCTCACGCGGTATCCCGGCTTGGATATCCTGCAAGATGGGCTTAGGGGAGAAATCATACAAGAAGCCATGCGGAAGAACCTCAACCAAGAACTGAGTAAGTGAGCTCCTCGAAACAGCGAGAGACAGGCAAAGACATCAAAAGCGCCAATGCTGATCTGTATCTCAGTGTACTTGACGGAGCGACTCCGCGAAGAGGTGTCTCTCATCCTCAGAGAACAACTCCCGTCAAGCAAAGAATGGCAAGAAGTCAGATTCTTTCCCGTGGCCACTCAACTTGCTGCACGCTTATCTGCAAAGATCCTCCTCGGGGATCGTCTCTGTCGCGACAAAGAGTGGATAGCAGTCTCCATCAACTTCACCGGCGTCATTCTCCGCGCAGGGAGAGCTCTGCGCGCCTGGCCTGTCCTTCTCCGCCCACTGGTGCATCGCTTCGTGCCGACGCTGAACTACCTGCGAAGTCAGATCACGCAGGCACGAAAGATTATGGAGCCGGAGCTTGCGGCGCGAAGGCTCGCGAGGGATCAGAAGGAAAGACCTATGGATTCATTGTCGTGGATTGACGATGTTCGGCGCGGACGAGAGTTTGATGTCGTCGCTGGGCAGCTATTTCTCACATTTGCGGCGATTCACACGACGTCTTCTGTGGTGACTGCCATATTGTATGATTTACTGGCGTATCCAGAGTATTTCACTCTGCTGAGAGAAGAGATTGTCAAGGTGTTTACCGAGGATAGGGGTTGGAGCAAGAACAGTCTGTTCAAGTTGAAGTTGATGGACAGCTGTATGAAAGAGAGCCAGCGATTGCACATATTGGGTCCTCGTAAGCACATTCGGGCCCTACCGCGAGGATCTTGGGCCGACGACCTGCTAACACGCCCTCTAGATATCATGAACCGCGGAGTCGAAGAGGCCATGACCCTCTCTGACGGAACCCACCTCCCAAAGGGCACCTTGATCACCGTAGCCACACACAACACCCGCGATACAGCACTCTGGGGACCCGAGCCCGAAAAGTTCGACGGCCACAGGTTCCTGCGTATGCGTGAAGAGCCGGGGCAGGAGAACCGGTGGCAGTTTGTCTCGACGAGTCCAGAGTTCCTCGCCTTTGGCCATGGAACGCACGCGTGCCCGGGACGATTCTTTGCCAGCAACGAGATGAAGATTGTGTTGGCGCATCTAATCATGAACTACGATTGGAGGATTGTGGAAGGAAAGCCCCCGGCAAGCATGTTCGTCAGTCGCTTTGTGCCGGATCCCAGGACGGTTATTGGGTGCAGGGCGAGGACCCCAGAGATTGAGCTGTGAGAGAGAGACAACACACGAGAAGCAAGACATGAATGAGCAGAAACGATTCAAAATTTACTCAACCACAAGGTGGACAAAAGTGTCGAGAAAAGAAAAAAGAAATTGCGTCAATCGCTGACGGGAATTGAGCCCGACGTGGCTAGGCAGAGTCAGCGATGATGTTCCATGATCATCATGTGGCATTGAGCTATAACTTACGGGTCGAACCCACAACCTTGAGATTAAGAGTCTCACGCTCTACCGATTGAGCTAGCCGGGCGGATAGAATCCAATGGCTTGGTGTGTTGTCGTGAGCAAGCCGGAATCAGTCCATGGAGCCTTTGGTGGATTGGACCGGACGGGGTGGTGTATATAATTTTCACGGCCCATCTCTAGACGTGTTGTGTTTTTTGACAGGGTTACCGCGTTTCCGGAGGGTAGGGCTTGTTTGCTATGGACTCCGGTGCGGGTCCTGGAGATTGTTTGAGAGGGGCCGGACGAAGTCCCGGGATCAAGAGATCTGCCATGACACCAGCTTTTTACCTTTGCGCGAGTCGAGTAGTCAGTTTCCAGGCCGATGTGCTCTCAATTGGAGTTGGTGGACGGTCCGGTATGCAAAACGTGCCAGCTTAGCCTTCTTCTCCGTTTCAGACTGACAGACTGACAGACTGTCCGACTGTCTGACGGAACACATTACAAATCCTGGAATAAGAAGGAAAATACGTCCGAGTAGGATACATTCGAGTAGCTCGTTGTGCCAGAGCTCTGAGTTGCCTCATGGGTAGAAGTAAGTTGCTTTTACCTGGTAGGTGAGGTAGGAATGATGGAGTATCTCAACTCATGGGCTCTGGAAATTTGATGAACCACGACAGATGCGATGGCTCATTGTATCCGATCGAATCGATGAGGCATATCGCCGTGTTGTTCAGATTTGGCCGTCCTTACGTAAGAATGAAAGAGGGTGAAAGTGCAGCAGCACACAACTGGCAACAAAAACACATCTGCTCAACATAGGAAAATTCATTTTGTAGAGTATATGCTGGTTATACACACTCGCAGACCGCTGTGGCCGGCCCGTTTTCATCCATTCCTTGAACCACCTTGCACCCCTTTTGCATACCGATACAGATTGAAAGCTGGAAAGCAATAACCACCGCTATTACCACATCGCCCATGAGCTCGTGTCTCCAGTCGAGACTCAGTGTCCACCTCCTCTGGCTCGCTTCGCACCAGCATTTCCGCCGGCCTCGGAATCTCCTCTAGGCCGCTTGTTACCAGGCTGGAAATCGTTGGCACCAGGGTTCAACGAGCCGGCATTTTGTCCTCCTCGGCCACCACCACGTCCGCCACGTCCTGCTAGACCACCTCTCTCTGCACCTCCGCTTGACACCCTATTTCCGGCAGCGTAAGCGCCACCCCGACCACGACCAGCTGCACCGCCTCGTCCTGGAAGAGGGATGCCACTCCTTTGGCCTGGAGCAGCCTGAGCCGGTGGTTGCGGTAGCCCATGACCTTGCGGTGCGGTCTGACCCGCCGGTGCCCCTTGAGTACTGGAAGCGAAGGGGTTCTGTTGCTGTTGTGGTGTTTGCTGCTGCTGCTGTCCTTGTGTACTCTGTGAGAACGGGTTGGCCTGGGCCGGAGTGCCATTAGCAGCACCGGCCGCGAACGGGTTCGCTGCGCCATTGTTGGCTGCCGGCTTGGTATCCCCAGGAGTAGGTATTTGTCTCTTCTGAGGGATGCTACTGCCCGGCGCAGGGATTCCGCTAGTAGCAGCCCCGGTTGATGGTTGTGCTTGGTTGGTTGAGGCTGGTGGG